TAGGGAAGTAACTTTACGTTATAAACTTTATAAAGCAGAGCTACAGCAAACCCCTCCCGCCCACCATGAAAGCTGGAAGGCCCACTAGTGCCAGGCGGTAGGGGCCAGGTTGGCTCCCACTGGTCTAGCCTAATGAAGAGAAAGTTCAGGGGAGACACGAGAGCAGCCTTCCAATACTTGAAGGGAAGAGGGCATCCGTTTATTCTCCAAAGCACCTCAGGGCAGGACAAGAAGCAACCTCTCAGAAGGAGATTCAGCCTGGGAAGGGGGAGAACGGTCAATGGGGCACTTTGCCTCCTGGAGTTGCTCCGGGTGCTCCGTTGCTGGAGGTTTTCAAGAAAAGATTCAACGTTCATTTCTCTGGGGTGCTATAAGGACTCCACGCCTTGGAAAGGAGGTTGGGCTACTAAGTTCCCTTCTAGCCCTAGGGATGGCCAGCCTCCCCCACTCTCTCTCTCTCTCTCTCTCTCTCTCTCCATAGGTATTGGCCTCTCTTTGACCACTTTGTCCGCCGGGCCCTCCGCAACAGCAGCTTGTCCATCCACCTCCCTGCAGCAGTTTCGGCTTTTGACCTGTATCCTGTGGCCGAGGACGGCACTCTGAGGCCTTTCAACGGCCGTTACCTGCACAGTTACCTGAAGGCTCTTCCTGTGGGCTACTCAGTGTTGCCCCAGGTACGGTGGGATCCGGAGGGCCCCATTCCCCCTCTCGGATGTGCGGCACAGGCCTGCGTCTCCCTGACCTCCTCTTCCTCCTCTGCAGCACGAGCGAGTGCTTTTTGTCCTGAACTTGCTCCTGGGCTCAGAGCAGCCCATTCTCCTGGTTGGGGAGCCGGGCTGTGGAAAATCCACCTTTGCCGAGATGCTTGTGCAGCCCAATTACTTGTTCCAGCGGGTGTTCCTCACGCCGGCGTTCAGCACAGGGCACCTGCGCCAGCTGCTGCACAGGAGGTGCCAGTCCACCCTGCGGGAGAAAGGCCTCTTCCCCAGCGGCAAGCCCACTTGGGGTGCAGCCAGCAAAGCCCACTTCCTCTTCCTGATGGAGGATTTGCACCTGGCTTTTGTTGGTGAGCTCCCCTCCCCTCCCCTCCCCCCTCCCTTCGCTAAGGCTGGGGGGGGGAGCTTGGAAATGCTGCCCGGGCCCCCTGATCTCCCGTCTCCTTTCCAGATCCAGTCCGAGGCACCAGCCCTGTGATTGAGTCTCTGCGCCAGACCCTCACTCTCCAGCAGTTCTACCACGCCGAGACTCTGGAGCTGCAGCAGTGCCCAGCCACCGGTTTCAACTACTTCGGCACGCTGTCCGTCCCAATCCCTGGCAGCCTTCCGCTTTGTCCTCGTTTCGGCAGGCTTTTCAGCACGGTGGTGCTCCCGGACATGAACAGGGAGTCTTTGCTCAGCATGCACATTGGCACGGTTTTAACTTGGCTGGAGAAATTCCCTCTGCTGACCCGGCATAACGAGTTGGCCTCCGCCGTGGTCAAGGCCACCCTGGACACTTACGAAGCGGCGAGAAGGAGGTTCCACCCGTCCCCTGCCTGCTGCCTCTTCCAGTTCTCCCTGCATGATGTTGCGAAGGTGATCAAGGGGATGCTTCTGCTGCGGCCCCGTCCAGGGGTTCACCTGAGCACCCCCCTGGAAGACCACGGCTCCAAGGGGTCAGGCTCCAGGCGCACCTCTACCATGGCGAGGCCAGCCGTGGGCGCAGGGTACACTGCAGCACTCAGCACCCGGTTGATCCTCCGACTTTGGATGCACGAGAGCCTGCGCACCTTCTGTGACCCTCTGCGAGGAAAACAGCAGCGGGGACTCTGTGAGCAGATGCTGTTGGAAACCGCCACCACCCTCTTCTGCGCCAAGCACTCTGTCCTGCGGGCGTCTCCCTCCCTCACTTCCTCTCTCCACACACGCACCACCGTCCAGTTTCGCAGCACATCTGAATCCTCCCTGACCACAGCTTCTGTGGGGGAGGAGGACCATCTCCTTTGGACTCTGCAAGCTGAGCCTGAGTTCCCGTACAGTGGGGAGATGGGCTACCCGAACTCCTGGGACTCCGTGGAGCAGGCCCCAGCCCTGGCGCTTGACCCACCGGACCCCTCTCCTTGGGAAGAAGTGGACGCCCTGGGAGAATCAGAAACCGAGGCCCTCGAAACGGAACCCGAGGAAGCGGATGCGGGAAAGAGGCCGAGCAGTGGGAGGCCCGGCCAACTCAGGGTGCCTGAGTCTCACGCCACCCCCCACCGGTCTTTCCTCCTGCGGGTCAAGCGCCGCAGCTCAGGCAGGAAAGAAAGTGGCGGCCCACTGCTGCCGCTCCATCACCTGCTCCTGCAGGGCGAGTCCCCAGCAGATATTGTCTTCAGCAAGGACCTGGGCCCTGACTTCCACTGCCCCACCGCTCACAATCCCTATCAGGAGAAGCTCTGGAGGACCCTAGAGACGCAGCTGGGCTCTTGCCTGCCTCCTGGCTTCCTGCTGTGCTCAGATGTCCTAAAGCATGTGGTGCGGCTGGCCCGTCTGCTTTGGGGCCCAGACAGGCACGGGGCCCTGGTATCTTTTGCCCGGTGCACTGGGCGGCAGTCCCTGGTGGCTCTGGTCGCTTGTGCCACAGACACTCTGCTCGTGAACCTGCCAGCAAAGGCCAGTGAGGCAGAGGCCTTGGCGCTACTGAGGTCGGCAAGCTGGCAGGCTGGAATTACGGGGAGGCGAGTAATGGTGCTGGTGCACTCAGGAGTGAGTGTGGCCATCTTGCACCAGGTCCTGGCGCTGATGACTGAAGGCACCTGCCCTGGACTTTCCAACCCAGACGATTCCACGGCCGTCATCCAGGCCATGCTGCAGGAGAACCAGAGCATCAAGCGCAACATGCGGGAGGACCTCGTGCTGCAGAAGTAAGGAGGGGGGAGGGGAGGGGAAGCGTCTCTGTGCCAGAGCAATGGGCAGGAGCTCCTTCAGAGCCCCCTCCCGTCTTGGCCTTGCAGGTTTTTCCATTTGGTGCGTTCCAACTTGCACGTGTTGCTGCTCTTGGGGGCTCCTGGGTCCTTGGCGCTCCCACCCCTCACAGCCGCGGCATTGGCTCAGTCGCTCTGCACCTTGGAGCTCTACCAGAACTGGAACCAGGAGTCCTTGCTGCAGGTGGCCTCCAAGCGCTTGAAGGGCCACTTCAAGAGCGCCCTACGGTTCACCCGAGGTTGGCCTTCCCTTTCTTTGCCCTCAGCCCCACCCTCTGGCTTCAAGGCGGGCGCTCAGAATGCAGGTGCTCTTCCTCCTCCTCTCCTTTCCTTCCTGGCCCCAAGCAAAGCGTCCAGGGGCTGAGCAGCCTTCAGCTTCAGGGTTCAGAGAGCAGAAGTCTTGATCCTTGGCTGGCCTCTCCACAGACTGGTAGTCTGCTTACACACCTGAGCCGGCCTCCTTGTCTCTGAAGGGCAGCATTAGCTGCTGGCGAAACTTTGGGCCCACAGCCGCTACGGCTGGAAGCCCAACCCTGGCCGGAAAGCCCAGAGCAGCCTGTTTCCCCAGCGCTGCTCTCCCCCTTCATTAAGCCCCAGAGATGCTCACGGTCTCGGTCTCTGTGCTCCGCAACCTCAAGGCTTCTTTTAGTACACGGGAGAGCACTAAAAGGGGAGAGGCTTCAGGTGTGGAGGGGGTCCTGCCCCTCCTCTCCCCACGCTTGCAGGGCCGCTGAACAGGTGTCCCCCTTGAGTTGTGAGCTGCCCTGAGTCCCCCCAGGGAAAAGGGCGGCATACAAATAAAGCATCTCCTCATCTCAATCTAGTGTCTTGCCTGCCAGAGCCCCTGTCCTTGCATGCCCAGAAGGAGCTGCTGCACAACATCTCCGTGGCTGCGTCCCAGATCCACTCCTCGGCAGCCGACTACGCCTGCTCCCTGGCCGACAGGCTGCCCCTCGTCAGCCCCAAGAGCTTTCTGGATTTCCTGGACTCCTACGTCTACCTGTTGGACAGCCTGCAGGAACAAGTCAGCAGGAGAGCCGAACGGTGAGTCTGCCTTCTCTCCAAACCCTCTCGAAGCCCCCGCCTCTCGAGGTCGCCTAAAATAAGTCCAGGAGTTCGGGTTGTGGGGAAGAGTCTTTAAAACATGTCCATCCATGCCTCCCTGCTGCCATTCAGAGTTAGCCTTGCAGTGTCTGAAGTGCAGAAAAGGATAGGATAGAATAGAATAGAATAGAATA